TTCAGGAAGCCATGGATTACCAGGAAGTCTGGACTGGAGGGGGCAGAGCCCCGACTTGAGGAGGTGACACTTCACCTCTTGGTCTCCTGGCTTCTGCTTTCCGCATCTGCTGCCAACCCCACTTGTCCATAACCTCTAGCCATGTACAATATAGATCACTTTCGCTTCTAATCTTCCTGCACTTTTCAGTAGCAGTCAACCAAGCCAACCACTTCCTCCGTCTGAAGTAACCACCTCTTGTCTTCTGTGAGAACATGGCTCTCCCCTTGCTTCTCTCACCTTCGCAACAGTCCCTTTTCAGTCTCCTTTGCAGACTTGTACCCTCCCATCCGGGTAGGCACCACCTTCCCTCTCCCAGCTCAGATGGGCTCCAGATGCGTTTTTCAGTTGCCTGCTTGAAATATCTCACAGGTAGTTCAAATCCAATATTTAAAACTTAAACTCTGGGCCGGGCACGGTGGCTCAGGCCTGTAATCCCAGCACTTTGGGAGCCCGAGGTGGGCAGATCACCTGAGGTCGGAAGTTCAAGACCAGCCTGACCAACATGGAGAAACCCTGTCTCTACTAAAAATGCAAAATGCGTGGTGGCGCATGCCTGTAATCCCAGCTACTCGGGAGGCTGAGGCAGGAGAATCGCTTGAACCCGGGAGGCGGAGGTTGTGGTGAGCTGAGATAGCACCATTGCACTTCAACCTGGGCAACAAGAGCGACACTCCATCTCAAAATAAATAAATAAATAAATAAATAAATAAATAAGTTAAACTCTGGATTTTCTCCCCTGAGCCTCATCTCCCAGTTCTTTCCTATTTCAGCAAATGCCATTATTATCACACATCTGGTTGCTTAAGTCAGAAATCTGGAAGTTGCCCATGACTTCCCCTCCCATCTTGACCCCTCGAATATAATGAAGCAGCAGGTTCTATAATCATATGCATTCCCAGCCCTATGCCTCCCTTCTCTCCTATGACTGTCCCAGCCAAGCAACTGTCCCCTGTCACCTGGACTCTCCCAGAGCCTCCTAACTGGTCTCCTTGAACTTACATAGCCTCTACCATCTCTTCTCCATATAGCAGACAGATGCATCTGTTCTCCATATAGCAGATGGACGATCTTAAAAGTAAATACACAAATACTCTTTGACCTGTCATTTCTCTGCTTTAAAAATGCACCCTGGGGTTGGGCGTGGTAGCTAACGCCTGTAATCTCAGCACTTTGGGATGCCAAGGTGGGTGGGTTACCTGAGGGCAGGAGTTCCAGACCCAGCCTGGCCAACATGGCGAAACCCCAAATCTACTAAAAATGCAAAAATGAGCTGGGTATGGTGGCACACATTAGTAATCCCAGTTACTCAGGAGGCTGAGGCAGTAGAATCGCTTGAACTCAAGAGGTGGAGGTTGCAGTGAACTGAGATCTCCCCACTGCACTTCAGCCTGGGAGACAGAGCAAGACTCCGTCTCAAAAACAAACAAACAAGGCTGGGCACGGTGGCTCACGCCTGTAATCCCAGCACTTTGGGAGGCCGAGGTGGGCGGATCATGAGGTCAGGAAATCGAGACCATCCTGGCTAACACGGTGGAACCCTGTCTCTACTAAAAATACAAAAAATTAGCCGGGCATGGTGGCGGGCACCTGTAGTCCCAGCTACTCTGGAGGCTGAGGCAGGAGAATTGCTTGAACTTGGGAGGTGGAGATTGCAGTAAGCCAAGATAGCACCACTGCACTCCAGCCTGGACGACAGAGCGAGATTCCGTCTCAAAAAACAAACAAACAAACAAACAAACAAACAAACAAACAAAAATGTACTCTGGGCCAGACATGGTGGCTCATGCTTGTAATTCCAGCACTTTGGGAGGCTGAGGCGGGTGGATCACTTGAGGTCAGGCGTTTGAGACCAACCTGGCCTACATGATGAAACCCTGTCTCTACTACAAATACAAAAATTAGCCAGATGTGGTGGCAGATGCCTGTAATCCCAGCTCCTTGCGAGGCAGAGGCAAGAGAATTGCTTGAATCCGGGAGGCAGAGGTTGCAGTGAGCTGAGATCATGCCACTGCACCCCAGCCTGGGTGACAGAGTGAGACTGTCTCAAAAAAAAAAAAAAAAAAATGCACCCTGTCTTGCCACTGGGGTGCCTGTAGGATCTGGCCCTGCCCCTCCTGGGCCTCTGGGACTGCACTGCACCACACTGGCTTGCTTTCTATTCCCTGGAAATGTGGAGACCTTTCCCACCTCAGGGAAGGAATTAGAAGCCGAAAATGCCCTTCCATGCTGGACTGTCCTCACCAGGACATGGTGCAGCTTCAGAGGCCTTCCCGAATTCCCATGGCAGTGCGCTCACCCTCGCTGCTCTCTTATTTCTCTCTGCTTCTTCCCGGGCATTCCTCACCATTTATGATAAAGTTTGATTCATGAGTCCGATTGTTTATTTTCTTTCTCTATCAGTAGACTGGAAGCTCCCTAAGAACAGGAGTTGTTCTACAGTAGACAGGCCTAAGCAAACCTACCCCAAAGTCTGAGGAAGCTGACAAGTTGAAAGAAAGAGGCTGAGAAAGCTAGGGGACTTTCCAACAGAAGCCATGTAGGTGTCTCATGCGGCGATGAGATGAGATGATGGATCCCCGCATTAGCACCCACAGCCAGGGCTCATATGCCATAGGGTAGGGGTGGTTCAGATGGAATTTGTAAGACAATGGAAGTGTAATATCATCAAAGTTGTTTGACCTACAGGTAGCATTTATGGACTTACAGTAAGTTCTTGCTCTTACACAGGGAACAATAGATAAACTGGAAATCATAGAGGCCCTGCCTTGGAACTGGGGTCACTCAGTTAAGTCAATGTGGCAGGTTAGCTTTCAAGATGGACTTGCCTCAGCTTCCACAGGGGTCATGTGTTTTATTCCTGATAGGTCAGCGGCTTGTAGCATAGAGCCTACACGGATCAGGTGCTGGCTTTGAGCCATGGCCATGTGCTGGAGGCATCCCTAGAGGCTGGGGGCTGGAGTGGAGGGTTTGCATTTAGGTCTTCGTGACTTCAGGTTTCTGACTTACCCAGCTTGATGGAGAGAGAGTTGTAAAAGCTGAAATATATGAGGAAGAACAGCTTGGAGAAGAGAAGGAACCAAGTTTGCCTTAAAAACATTGAGTTTGAGGTGCTGGTGAGATAAGCGTGCCCCCAACATTTGCCAGCCGCAGGAAGTGGAGAATGGAGGACCCCATCTGATATGTCCGAATATATGAAAGTTAAGACTAAAGCTCACAAACTGTCATATAAAATGTATCCTGCCGGGTGCGGTGACTCACACCTGTAATCTAGCACCATAGGAGGCCAAGGCAGGTGGATCACCTGAGGTCGGGAGTTGGAGACCAGCCTGGCCAACATGGAGAAACCCCATCTCTACTAAAAATACAAAATTAGCCGGGTGTGGTGGCGCGTGCCTGTAATCCCAGCTACTCGGGAGACTGAGGCAGGAGAATCACTTGAACCTGGAAGGCGGAGGTTGTCGTGAGCCGAGATGGCATCATTGCACTCCAGCCTGGGCAACAACAAGAGCAAAACTCTGTTTCAAAAAAAAAAAAGTGTATATTCTCCTACCTAATTCTCCTACCTCCCACCTTCATCATGGCCTGGAGCTCCAGGTTGGAGGGAGGATTCTCAGCCGCCTCTGAGTGTTGCTGCCACAGCACAGCCCACCCCAGCCTTTGGCCCATGTCACAGCTCCACCTCCCTTTCTCTTCCTCACCCTGCTCTGTATCATACATGCGTGTGAGTGGGTGACCTGCCCACAGGTTCAAGCTCTCTCTACCTGCTCCCGTCTCTGCTATCAGGACTCTTGCCAGCGCTCCACCCAATCTCGGGCAGTGCAGTGTGCCCACATGGGGAGGAGGCCATTTGGGCCCCAGAAGTGGAGAATCTCAGGATCTGGGGCACCCAGAGTGTGGTGGAGAAGCAGGGTGCAGGGGCTCCATGTTGGTATGTTCCTGTGGACTCTGCACCCTGTGGGGAGGGGTGAGGCTGTGGGTTAGCCAGAGCCCGACCCTCTCAACTCTGGGTTGGGGCGTGCATGTGAGTGCACAAGTGAGGGAGTCTCCTGGTCAGCTGGAATCGTGAAAACGAGAGTTCAGGGAGGGTGGGAGTGGTGGAGCCTCAGCAGAGAAGTTGATGGTCACTGATGCTGAGGAAGTAGATTGGGTGGAGGGAGGAGAATGGCATGTTGAGTGCGCTCCCCACCAGTCTCACTCACACTCGTGGACACTGCGGCCTGTGTCTCGAGGACATGTGTTGAGAATTCAGCCGTGGGGAATGGAGGTCCATTGGTTCACATAGTCAGAGGCTCTGTATTCTAACCGCAGCTTTGGGATTTTCCAACTGTGCAACCCTGGGCAGTGGCTTAGCGTCTCTGAGCTTGCCTCCAGATCCAGATCTGTATGATGGGTTTATTAATGCTTCATAAAGTAGGTGTGAGGAGGGGTTGAGGTGCTATTGGGAGACACTTTGTCACTAAAAGGCAACTGTATCACTTGCGTTATTACCAGTGACATGAGACAAAAACTGAAATGTCGTTTGTTAAAAACCAGAAATTGCCTGACTTAGGGCCCTCCGGTCTCTCACTGGCTGCCCTGCAGGGGACTGAGAGCCAGGGCAAGACTGAGAACCTGGGGCGGAACTGCAGGGAGGAAGGAGGTGGGGCCTGCTTAGTGACCAGGCCTCGGAGGCCCCTTCCCCTTTCAATCCCAGGCCCCTGCATGGCAGGGAGAGGACAGTTCCACCATGGCAGGTTCTTTCTAGGCTAGTATGCAGGGTAGGGGTCCCCAAGGAGCAGAGGCATGGGGAAGGGAGTTGGAGGCGCTGGGCCCAGGAGGAGAGACTCTTGCCTTGTGGGCAGGAAGTGTGAGGTGTTGAGCAGCTAGGGAACCCTGGGGAGGCGGCAGGGAGCAGGAGGGGTGTGTGTTGTGGTGAGGAGGAGCGGAAGTCGGAAGCTCCAGCCGTCACAGCCACATTCACTGGGCAAGCCGACTGTGCAGCCAGGAAGTGCTCTTGGGGACCCCAGGCCAAGCCATCCCTTCTTGGGTCCTTTGGAGGTGAGTTAAGTGGGTCTGCCTAGGGTGGGGCTGGAGGAACCTGCGGGAGCAGGGAATGTGGAGAGTCATACGTGGGTCCTTGTGGCAGGGGCTGGGGCAGGTGGGCAGGGGAGAGGCGAAGGCTCTGGCAGTGCTGTGTGCACCTGCCATGAGCCTAGGCTAGGCTAGGCCCCTTCTTCCCCCGTCCTGCTCTCTGTCTCATCCCCCTCCTCCCTCAGCCCACCCCTCCTCATCTGACCCTTCTCCGATTCCCTGCCCTGGCCCCACTGACCCCTGTTGTTTCCCTTCCGTGGCTCCCCGCAGAGCCCCTGGAGGTCTGCAATAGTGAAGGGTGAAGGAAGTTCCTTGCTAAATCTCTTGTGAGTGTCACTGGGTCCCCAGTGACTGCTCTGGCTGAGTACCCAGTGGGGGCTTTTGTGGCCAAAGGCCCCAAGTGATCCTCGACCCTAGACTCCGGAAGGAGGGAGTCTGGAAGGCCCGGGTTTGGGGTGGGGGCAGCTCTGGGTGTGGTTGCTGTAGGAGCTCAGAGTCAACTTGGCCATGAGGGGACTCCCAGCTTCATCTTGCCTTCCAGGACCATCCTGGAGAAGCTCGAGGAGAGGTAAGGGGACCCTCCTTACTGGTTTAGCTCTGGCTTAGGCCTGTTGTCCTGATGGGCAATAGGAACCACTGAACTCTCAAAGTGAGCCTGTGTGGGACACTCTAAGGCCCACTGCAATCGTTATTGTCATAGTAAAGGGAGTTGCATGGAAGGAAAGTCCCCTGACACCACCATTCCCCTCTTATTCCAGGGCCTAAAATCCCACAGTTGAAGTCACTCCTCTGCTAGAATGCAGGGAAGGGTGGCCTGTCATCAACTGATGATAAATACTCCTCCGTTCATCGGACCTTGGCCCAGCTTTAAAAAGTGGGCCCCGAGCAGGCCTGTCTCCCAGCTTCCTAGGACTCTAGAGCATCACATGGCCCCTCCTCCTACAGACAAGGAACCGCCTAGCATGGGGATCGGAACCCGGGCTGCTGAGCTCTTTGTTGGAGAGACCCACAGAAGGGGTGAGGGATGTGGGGTGAGAGGACTCAGGAAGGAGAGGCCCAGACTGGCGCCAGCCCCCTAGGGGTCTTTGTCCTCCCCAGGCAGTTTACCCCTGGGACTTTACCCCTACCCCCATGATCTCTCCCCTGGATCCTCTCTGCCTACCTCAGACCGCCATCCTCTTCTCCCTTCCTGAGCCTCAGCTGGCCTCACCACAGGCCTTCAGTAGCACTGGTTCTCTCTCTCTCTCTCTCTCTCTCTCTCTCTCTCTGTCTCTCTCTGTGTGTGTGTGTGTGTGTGTGTGTGTGCGCGCGCGCGCGCGCAAATTTGCATGATAGCTCTTTCTGTGTGGGCAGGATGTGGGGCCTTCTCTAGTCATTTCTCTCACGGTGCTTCAGGTCCCAGGTTCAGACAGAGGCCTCTGTCCTGTAGCTCCAGGCCAGGGAGCTCCACTCATGGTTCCTGCCTGCAGCAACATCTGTAATTCGGCAGCTTCCTGGGCTGCAGAGGGACAGGACAGGTCACCTCCTAAGTCCTTGGACCCGCCAGAAGCCTTCATACTTTTTCCATAGGAGGGAAAACATGTCCAGGGTAAAAGGAGGGAGTGTTTGCTTGCTGAGTCTGGAAGCTCAAAAAGGGAAACAGAGACAGGCACCCTCTGGATGAAGGCTCAGGGCTGACTCACTGAGGAGGCCGAGACCTGAGCCTGACCAGGAGGGCTATTTGTTTGTTTTTGTTAATTTTGGCTTCTCTAAATGGACAGCACAACAACAAAGTTAAACTGAGCAGGACACGGTATTTCCTGAGCACCCACTAAGGGCCAGGCCCAGCACTCAGACCCATTCCAACTTTACAACAAACCTGTGAAGTGTAGCTTTACTGGGTCTTAGTTCCTTATTTTACAGATAAGGAACCAGGTGGAGTTTTTCACCCAGAGTCACATGGCTTGTCAGCTGTAGAGTTAGGATGGGATTCTGCTCTGCATTCTTCACTGTGACCCTGAAATGGGCAAAGGAGGGTGGTCAGTGCTGCGCACCCAAGGCCATCAGCTTCCTACTCAGGGCAGGCTCATACCCCAGCCTCTGTGCCCGATCTCCCGGTTCTTCAGCCGGAGCACTGAGGTGCAATGGTTCCGAGGGGAGGGTGCAATGGTTCAGAGGGTGCAATTGCAAGGCTGCAATGCCAGGCTGAGGGTGACAAACAAACTCACTGTTAGAAAGCACAACTCGGGTGCCAGGTGTCAGCTGGGTTCCTTCCTGCCCCCTAGGGTCAAAAAGAAATTGCCTTGAAGCCCGGGGGTGGGGCAGGTGGGAGGGACTCTGTCTTCTAGTCCCTCAGCCACCACTTTCTGTGTCCTTCAACTCCCACAAGAGGGACATAAGGCTTAGCGCCTGCAGTATTCTCCATGAGAAACATACACCGCCTCCCCACCGTGGTGAAGATTCCTTGAAATGCAGTCAGCTGTGCTCAAGAAGAGTGGCTAGTGGGCGGCAGAGTGGAGCCGGGCTCTCTCTTTCCCACCTGGGCTCCCTCCCTGCTCCCTCCCCCCTGAACCCTCCTTAAACTTTCAGAGCCACCTCAGTGCTCAGAAAAGATGAAGGACCACTTTAATGTAGAGGTGACAGAACTCAGCTGGTGGGGCAGATGGCAATTCTTTTGCTGCGGATTGCTTTCCTCCTGCTTTCCTTCTGCTTGGGATAACAGACAGGAGATTTTAAAAAGAGATTTGACTAAACACTAGAGGTGGAAAAACACAAGTAAACCAAGAAAATTTTAGATGCATAAGACCTGGGCTCTGCTGCCTAGTTCCGGGCCTGCCTCTGCCTAGGGGGTGCCATCCTACCTCGGGGATCAAAGGCTTGTTCCATCCTCCACCCTTCTGAGGTCAGACCGCCCTCACCTGGGTGACCAGTAGGACTGCCTTTATGGCCTTAGGAAGTGACTTCACCTTTTAGGTCATCCTACCTTTCCATTCAGGCAAGAGCAATTAAAAAAAAAAAAAAAGGAAGACATCTTTTAAACATACAGTTGCACAGTGCCCCCTCCACAAGTGGAGAGCACAAACGAGACGATTGAATGGGTCCTCCTTTCTGTTCAGGCTGCTGCCTGGGAGCCAAGACCCATAGGACATTTTGGCTGCTGACCTGGTAGGGACCTACCACTTGGGGACCGCTGCCCTTGGAGCACTGGGCTTCCTGGAGAGGGGAGGAAGAGGTGATTGGTCATGGGCAGACTGGCCCCCATGAGGAAGTCTTCATGTTATAATGATGCTAATTCTCTTCTCCAAGCCTCCGTCTCGCCAGTCCTCTGGCCTGGTTGTTGTGGAGGGAGAGTTCTGAGGATCCATCCCATCAGTGTGTCTCTCCATTTGTCTGTCCATTCATCTAGCCAACCTCTCTCTTATTTTCACAAATGTTCTACAGTGCCGACTTTCAGCCAAGGAGGTGCTGCACAGGAGTTTGAGTGACTCTAGTGAATTCGGGAATGTCCAAGAGAATGGATCAGAGGGCAGGAGGAGAGAGTGATGCTTAAGAGAGCTGTAACCTGGGTTCATGCCCCAGCCCAAGTCACAGGCAGGACTGAATCTCTCACGTCAACGCTGACCTTTAAGTTTCTAATCCACTTGAACTAAACCTCTCAAGTCAATGCTGATCTTTAAATTTCAAATCCAGTTGAACTAAAGTACGCCCCCAGAGCTTTGTGGGTGGGAGTGGTTTAACAAATCGGTCACATAAAGTGACTAAGCCATTCGACATTTTTGTACTGAGACACAGTGGTGAACAGGAAACACAAAGAACCTGCCATCTTGGCACTTACCTTCTAGGCAAACTAGAACCATGCGGGTAAACACACTGGGAACTACACACCGGGATAAATGCTCAGAAAGTAAAAGTGAGGGGTGGAGTGTAGTCACATTGAGTTTAATTCGTTTAAAAAGTCATAGCCAGCCACGTGCTGTGGCTCACACCTGTAATTCCAGCACTTTGGGAAGCCAAGGCAGGTGACCTCAGGTGGATCACCTGAGGTCAGGAGTTTGAGACCAGCCTGGTCAATATGGTGAAACCCCGTCTCTACTAAAACTACAAAACTTAGCCAGGCATGTTGGCAGGTGCCTGTAGTCCCAGCTACTTGGGAGGCTGAGACAGGAGAATCGCTTGAACCCAGGAGTCAGAGGTTGCAGTGAGCCAAGATCATGCCACTGCACTCTAGACTGGGTGACAGAGCAAGATACCATCTAAAAAAAAAAAAAAAAGTC